TTTACCACATTTACTGGCAAATTGAGTGTAGCACTTTTACTGCATCACCTTTTAAGATTTTGAATAGTTCTTGTCACCTCCACAGCTTTGTTGTTGCTCAGATTTCCTAAGACCCATTTCACTTCACATTCTAGGATGTCTGGTTCGAGGTCAGTGACCACCCCATCATGGTTATCTGGGACATTAAGCTCATTCTTGTATAGTTCTTCTGTGTAGTTTTGCCACCTCTTCTTAATCTCTTCTGCCTCTGTTAGGTCCCTGCCATTTTGGTCCTTTATCATGCCCATCTTTGCATGAAACGTTCCCTTCATATCTCCAATTTTCTTGAAGAGATCTCTGGTCCTCGTTATTCTATTGTTTTCTTCTATTTCTTTGCACTGTTCATTTAAGAAGGTATTCTTATCTCTTTTAGCTATTCTCTGGAATTCTGCATTCAGTTGGGTGTATCTTTCTCTTTCTTCTTTGCCTTTCGCTTCTCTTCTTTCCTCAGCTATTTGCAAAGCTTCCTCAGACAGCCATTTTGCTTTCTTGCATTTCTTTTTCTTTGGGATGGTTTTAATTGCTACCTCTTGTACAATGTTGTGAACTTCTATCCATAGTTCTTCAGACACTCTGTCTATCAGATCTAATTCCTTAAATCTATTTGTCACCTCTACTGTATATTCATCAGGAATATGATTTAGTTCATACCTGAATGGCCTAGTGCTTTTCCCTACTTTCTTCAATTTAAGCCTAAATTTTGCAATGAGAAGCTCATGATCTGAGCCACAGTCAGCTCCTGGTCTTGTTTTTACTGACTGTATAGAGCTTCTCCATCTTTGGCTGCAGAGCACATAGTCAATCTGATTTCTATGTTGACCGTCTGGTGATGTTCATGTGTAGAGCCGTCTCTTGGATTGTTGGAAAAGAGTGTTTGTTATGACCATCGTATTCTCTTGACAAAATTTTATCAGCCTGTGCCTGCTTCATTTTGTACTCCAAGGCCAAACGTGCCTGTTATTTTGGTTATCTTTTGGCTTCCTACTTTAGCATTCCAATCCCCCATGATGATAAGGACATCATTTTTGGTGTTAATTCTATAAGGTGCTGTAGGGCTTCATAGAACCGGTCAATTTCATCCTCTTCAGCACCAGTGGTTGGGGCATAGATTTGGACTACTGTGATATTGAATAGTTTGCTTGGATTCGAATTGAGATCATTCTGCCATTTTGGGGATTGTATCCCAGTATTGCTTTTCCTATTCTTTTATTGACTATGAAGGCTACTCCATTTCTTCTGAGGGATTCTTGCCCGCAATAGTATACCTGATGGTCATCTGAGTTAAATTCACCCATTCCTGTCCATTTTAGTTCACTGATTCCTAAGATGTCGATGTTCAGTCTTGTCATCTCTTGTTTGACTATGTCTAGCTTGCCTTGATTCATGGATTTTACATTCCAGGTTCCTATGGATAAAAGATCTTTACAGCATCAGACTTTCCTTTCACCACCAGATATATCCACAGCTGAGCGTCCTTTTGGCTTTGGCCCAGTCGCTTCACTCTTTCTAGGGCTACTAGTATTAGCCCTCTGCTCTTCCCCAGTAGCATATTGGACACCTTCCGACCTGAGGGGCTCATCTTCCAGCGTCATATTGTTTTGCCTTTTATTACTGTCCATGGGGTTTTCATGGCAAAGATACTGGAGTGGTTTGCCATTTCCTTCTCCAATGGATCACATTTTGTCAGAACTCTCTACTATGATCTGTCCGTCTTGGGTGGCCCTGCACGGCAAAGCTCATAGCTTCATTGAGTTACGCAAGTCTCTTTGCCATGACAAAGCAGTAATCCATAAAAAGAGTGATACTAATAAGATGTATGAAAACAAATCTTTAGTAGCACATGAGGGAAAAGGAATTGATAAAGTACACAGATAAAAGAATTATTGCAGAATATGAGGACAAGAGAATGATACTGTACAATGTATATATAGAGAAAATATGTATTGAAGAAAGCAAAGAATAGCTAAAATTAAAAGAGGCAGAGAAATTGCAAAAGGCTTTGAAGGGAAAAATAATTTTAGAAATTGGTGAAAAGTCCCTATAGTAGAGTGAATGAAATTAAGAATAAAAGTAATTTGGGATGAAAATAAAAATGAGGAAATCCTAGAAGGAGTCTTTTAGAGAACTGTATAGCAAAGACATTCTTATGTCAAGGAGACAAATTAAAATGAAGGTTATAAATATTAATATCCAAGGGGAGAAATGATGGAAAGGAGCCGAGAGTACATAAACTTATTTCTAGGCAGCTCATAGCAATTTCTACCAACAGTTTTGGAAGAGAACAGTTTAATACAGGATTTCTCTCCCTTTTCCCATTCAACTACAGCATTATGCTTTTCAGCCTTGCAGAAAACTGGAGAACACATTGAAAAATGCAAGCTAAGGTACTATAATGTTCTTATGCAAATCTAATGGACAGTTGACCCAGTAATAACACTCCATTCCAACATGTTGTTTGTATTTTAAAAATAGCATTGCATTTTTTTCAAGCTGACCTTGAATTTTAATGACTCCAAGGACCATCCATGTTGTTTTCATGGCAACTCTCTCCATCCCATTGATTTTCTTTTCTTGAAACTCTGTATATCTCCTGACATTACTTTTACCCAATTGGAGGCAAATAGAAATTCAGAGTATGCTTAATATAATTCTGTTAGAGAAATCTAAAGGATTTTGACCTCAATGCCCCACTTTAATTTATTGTACACATTTCATGAATAATTTCAAGTGTATTTTGAGCTTGAGGACTTGATTTGATGACCTTGAGGACATGTCATTGTAGTTTCCTTGCAAGGAATATAAAATCATATTCTTGACTTTTCATATTCTGTTACATCCACCTCTTGAAGAAGCAAGTATTAATGGGTTTATCTGCTGAGATAACTATGGTATAAAAACATCCCAAAGGCAAACTTTTGCAGACAAGAATGACTGTGGCATAATTAAAGGCAAGTCTGGAGATATTGAATAAGACATGGTGCTGTGATGGATGATTTATAGTCTGCCTCACTTCATATTTTATCTGTGTTTCTAAGACGTTGACTGAGGGGACATTACTGGGAGGAAGGTCAGAGAGCTTAAGGATGAGAAAAGCAGGTATGATACAAGTTAAGCTGGCAGACGTTTACTAGCAAGGCTGAGAATGTTATGGAAATGGTCCGAGCAAGCAGTTCTTTGGTCCAAACTTGGCAATTTTAAGATTGTAAACTTCATTTCCCAGAATTTCTTAGCCAGCATGGGGAGTTCTGGGAGCTAAAGTCCACAAGTTGTAAGTTTGTCAAGATTTGACATCCATGGTCAAAATGAAAAAATGGGTCAAGCTACCCCTGTTGGATTATTTTGTATTCAGAAGAGCTATCTATAGCTTGTAAAATACAATGATTACTAAGTATCACTTTTTCTTGCCACATTCCATTTTTCTACAGAGACTTGGAATTTATAGTTTTTCTGAGGACTTCCAGGAACTAAGTTCCAATCATTACTCAGTCAAAGAAGGCAAGTAAGCATATATGTACATCTTGGATGGGAAGGTGGAGGTTAATGTTGTGATGCTCAACTCTTCAGCTGTCATTGTTAATTCTGCATTAAGATCCCAAATATACCAGCAATATGTTCATTATAGTAACTAATTATGCAAATCACCCTCTGGAGGAACTACACTCTTTCATCTGTCCCCTTCTGTTCCTTCAACATGTCATTTATTTATTAAATAAATGTTATTCATTGATTATTTTTGCTTCTCTAAGGAATCGGAGTGATTTACACATGACTCCCATATGAAAGCCACTTACAAGACCAACACTTTCTTTGTTTGAGGAACAGAACTGGGATCTGTGGCTTCAGTTCACTCTGTGGGTCTAATTAGGAATCTAAATGAAGAGAACAGGAATTAATTATAAAAAAATGAAACAAGGAGTTGCAAAACAACAGAGTCTTTTCAAAAAGAAAATAATAGGCTTTGTTATTGGTGTTCTTGAATCAGGATATTCATTTAAATCAAAATATTATAATTTATTACAAACATCACTTATAAGAAAAATGAATGCATAAGTGATCAAATATATTAAAATTATAGTTTTTAAATATAGGTTGATGAAAAAAGTGGAAGCTTGAATCCTCAGGAACACTAAAATACAACCTACTCTTCACATAAATTAACTGCCCAAAGAAAAATCCATTTAATTCAGTTGTTCATCATTATTTATACTAGTATGTATAAATATGTTTGAATGTATAGGTCTAGAAATTCTGGCATATTAATATCCAGGACACTTCATTAATGCCATTTAGTTTTTCTTGAAGCTTCTCTGTATCCTGCCTTTGAGATTTATGATTGTTGTTGTTATGAGGAAGAATTGAAAGGTTGTTGTTATGAGGAAGAATTGAAAGGTCAATGTAGTACAGTAGGAACAAAGTAGGGACCAAAAATGATCAGGTAGATTCTACTTGATCATTATGGGGTTGTGTTAAATTAGTCATATCTCATATGTTCATCAGGCATCTCATAGAACAAATGAGAGAATGGGTCTAGCCATTTTTTGAACTATTAACTATTTGCAGCAGTGTTGTGATTGATCAGTAACTTCCCACTGATTGGTGATGCTGAAAGAAAGGAAAGGAAGCCCAGTAAAGCCATAAGGTTTACCAATGGCTTCGCTTAGTATGCCTTACTGTACATACTCAAAATCAGAATACTATCATCCAGCAGCAAGCTACAGTAGAACTGAGGCTCTAATGACAGGATAGCAACAGTAGTTGGGACAGTAAATATTATGACAGTACAGTTTTCTGATAACTTAAGGAGCAATGTATAGCATCTAACAGTGAAGAAACATCCTAAAAGTGGATTTCATGGCAATTAAATGGTTACATATTTTGCTTGAAAATTACACATACACAAACAAAAAAATGTACTTATTTAGTAACACTGAAGCAAGATAACAATAGTGGAAATTTGTTTATTTGTTTTGTAATATTTTAGCAAACCTTTCCAAAACACAGAAAATAATAATTATGCTATTTTGTTTTGTTCACCTTGAATATTAAGTTTAGTTTTGTGCACCAAGCTTTATGAAGGGTTCAGCGAAACTGGAAGATATCCAGACAAAAGCAGCAGAAGTGATCAGGGACTGTAAGCCATCATCTGTGAAAAGAGTTGGAATTAACTCAGTATGTTTGTCTTTTTGAAGATAAAGATAATTATAATAAGAAAGCAGAGTAGTACAAATAGTAATAGGTGCCTTGGGTGCAATCCCAAAACATCTGGAGCACCGTTTGAATACCATAGGCATTGACAAAATCACCATCTGTCAATTGCAAAAGGCAGCTTTACTTAGAACAGCATACATCCTGTGATGATATCTTTAATACTGTTAAACAATATCTGCCTGTCCCAGGTCCATGGGAAGGACTTGATAAGTGGACAAAAATGCCAAATCCAATCTAAACATCTGGCTGCCTGAATGAAAAACTATAATATAATCAACCTGACTCTCAGTGACTCTGATAGTTCATAACAAAAATCTAATAAATAAATTACAATAAAATCAATAAAAGATAAAAAATAAAGGGCTCAACTAACCAATGTCTATACCATGTAGGGCTTTATAGGCAATAATCAACATCTTGAATCACATCTAGAAGCAAACCAGAATAAGATATAATTGGATATTATCAGGATGCTGATAATATGAAACCCCAACTGGCAGAGGAGCTCACCTTGTGGTTTCATGTAGATGTTGATAAGGAGGGGAGAGAGACTAGAACCCTGCAGCACTCCCACAGGTGTTGCCTTCTGAGTAAACCCCTCCCCTCCCCCCCCACCCAACCAACACTGACTGAAACTGACCTTGAGAAAGGAAGAGAGCCACTCTAAAAAGTGCCCCCAATCCCCAGTTTGTGGAGCCAGCTTAGAAGGATGCTCCATGATTCTAGCAAAACGCCAGTGATTTTATAAAGGTAAGGCTATGTATCTGCTGTAACTTTTGAACTCTGAATATACCTCAGTATTATGTAAGACATTCTGTGGCAGCTACCAAGAAGGGTAGATGGTTACTTTCCTATCCTGATGGCCTTGTTTAATGTGATGGTGGAATTTGTGATTGTTTACTTGGAATTAGATGACTTTGCTGGGTTGGTAATGTAGGGAATAGAGTGTTGGCAATCTGCTAAGCATTTACATTAATAAATTTATACTGAAAAGCCAAAAGATTCAGGCATTTGAACACACACTGGATAGCATATATACCTTCAAGATTGTCCAGCAGGCTATTTACAAGATTCTTAACATATGCACACCAAAATAGCCTTTTTGCATACAAATTCCTTTAAAATAAAAATAGGCCTTAGCATCCTAATCTCCTTCTTCCTCCCTCCCTCTTTCTCTCCCTCCCTCCCCCCTTTCTCTCTTTCTCTCTCTCTCCCCTCACCCTACTCACGCTACAGGATACAGCACTTAGATGTCGGGAAATGTTGAAAGGGTCTGGTTAACATCAGTCCATTTTTCATTTCCTTTCAGTGAGTATGGTGTGGTGCTCTGAAATCCTCAGAGCCTTGTAGCATGAGTGCAAGTATTAAATTTTCAAGGACGAGACAAGTAGCACCAATAACATGTCAGAGATATGTACCTGTTTAAAGTCTGATTCTGTTTAAAAGGACTGAAACCAAAGTTCATTAGCTCCATTCATTATAAGGAAATAATGCCATTTTTTACTTTCTATCTACCAACTCCATCCTCTTTACCATTTCATTGTGGGAACTAGTGTAAAGTTATTGAACTTTCCTAAAACTCTTGTATTACAGTATTCAAGCACGTCCACAACACGCTCATTTTCAAGAGTTTTGATTAAAGGAAGCTACAATAATTGTTTATTCAATAATGTCATTGTATCATAGCTGAAATGAAAAACAGAGCAAAAAATGGAAGAATTTAGTTGTTCAAATATTGACTTCTAGCAATAACTTTATTAAATTTGAAGAGTCAGTGTTATATTTTGGAAAATGACAAAGTTTGTTGTCTTGAAAATTATCTCTGGTGTTGTTCTTTCTGCTCTTCCACTCTATTTAATTTATTCCTATCCAGAAAAGTGTTTAAAAATGTTTTAGTAAAAAAAAGTCATTTTGTAAAATCTCAGCTGGTAATTTTTATTTTGTTAAACCATTGTAATTCAAAGCATTTTTTTCAGCCTCTATTTGTATTGTGATTTAAATTGAACTACTTTAATAATAGTTTTAATTTTTTAATAATTTTTTCTCTCATAGAATCTGCACCTTCTTATATTCAGTGTAAAATCATTCACAATATACCAAATTTCTTGAATTTTAAATAGAATTCTCTAAAAAGTTGAAATTACTTGATGAACAGTCAATTGATGAAGACATCCTAGATGCTGTTAGTCAATCAAATCATTACAGAAATCACCTAATTAGAACAGAACATTCTTAGATCATCTCCTTCAGAAATATTCTTTTTAGCAACATCTTTTTAGCTACATACAATATGCAACATGTTCTAAGAAAGATGGTCAACTTCAATTTCATTTGAAAATAGCTGTTTTCATCATATTAGTTATTTCTTACATTGTTTTTTTAACGTTATGGAGGGTCTTTATTCTGAGATCATTTACTGTGAAAGTTAATACTTTTAAGATTTTTTTATGTATGGTTTTTACTGTTGTACACTGCAGGAGTTTGGAAGAATTTAATGGTATACAAATGGTATTATTGTGACAGACAGGTAAAACCAAGCACTTCTGAAATTCTTTTGCATTGTAAAGTAACATCTTATTAACTGAAATGAAAATTGTAAAGTGATCTAATGGGTTCTGATAATTGAAAGAAATAAGTAGCAATAAACCTATGGATTATTGGAAGATCTCTAAATGCCTAGTTATAAAATAATACATATTTCCCTAACTGTGCCATCTGTTTTTCTGGGAGACAGACCGTCTTATCAAATGTTGCTGAATGTACAGATATGTTCACTAAAGGCCTGGAAAAGTTTTATAAAAGGGCTAATGTGCTTTGTGAATAAAAATAAACTCATTATGCTGAGTGTGTGAGATTTGAAGTAACAATAACAGAGATAATCAGTGGCTGAGTGCAGCTTTCTTAAAGGCCCTGGTGGTTTATCATCTGGATAAAGAACCCAGGACATCTGGCACGCCTGCAGGAAAGAAGACTAAGCATGGGAATAAAGAGAAACATTGGCTTCCCTAGCTCAGGATGATTCTCGAATACTCTCAGATGCCTCATTGTAGCATTTTGAACATGTGGTGAGATCATAGAACTCAAGTCTCTCAAGCAAATCCTGGACAGCAGAAAGGCTAATTGGAATGGCTGTGGATAGGAACAGCCAGAGTGGTTCTCAATCAAATAGGTTTTAAAAGTATGGCTTGGAGCTTTGTTTGTGGAAATGATGCTTTGATGAAAAGGCAGAAAATAAAAATGCAGCATGATATGCTTGTGGTGAATTGTGATTTATGGATTGTGATCTGGATTGGAGGATACTGGGACCATTGTTGCCAAGAGGGATGGCATCAAAGGCATTGTTAGGCCTTGAGTTCATCTCTCATGAACTCTCTCATGTCTCCATCCATGTGCAAATAACCAGCCTTTTCTTCTTGCTAGACATGTAGAAGCCTCCATTGCATAGTCATCTAGTTGTGGAGACTGGTGTCATCTTGCATCTGCACAGAGTTACTATATTCTGAAAAGTGGCCTGGTTACATTGCATCTAGAGCACAGGGATATTTTAATTACTCAGGTAGAATCACCCTACAGAGTGTGTAACTCTGTTTTCCCAAATAACACCAAATTAGAAATCAGACATGACATGATGCCTCCAGATCAACCAAATATGGGATAGTTGACAGTCAGACTGTTCAGTTCTATACTGCATTATTGTATAGGGCAGCAAAGCCTCAGTCTAAGCTTTAAAATTACTAAAATGTTCTTATGCTATTTCATAAATTCATAGAATTATAGAGTTGGAAGGGACTTTGAGGTCTTAATCCAACCTCCTGCCTAATGCAGGAATCCTCATATCATCCTGCACCAAAATGGTTGTCTATTTCTAATTCTCAGATTTGATATATACATTGTCTTTTTAGCAGAGTTGTCCACGTTAAAAAAACCCCCACCAAGATGGTCACCCCCACAGTGCACTGGAAATTCCAGTTGTCTGTTTTATGGGCATTGCAGGCAAGGCTTCCAGTACACCATGGTAGTTGCTATACTGATTTTTTAAAAATCACATCCTACACACATTGTTGCTTCTTAGCAATAATTTAATTACTAATTTGAATAATGCCATTATTTGTATATTTTTCCCAGAAAAAGACTACATGTGTGTTTCATATTGAGAAACATTAGGGATATTATAGCAGCTTTTTAAAAAAAATCAGTTGTGACTTCCAACAGGTAATATAATTAATTTTGTCCCAATATTTTTACCAATGGGATAGCAATATTTTATTTTCCTCAGTAGATTAAAACAATGCAAGAGTGTCTGTCTATTGACCTGTCTTTCCTGAAGTGCTGTACTAGAGGGACTATTATTTTTTGGATGATGATAAGGCAAAAAAGGAGCTGCAATCATTCATTTCAATGAAGTTCCCCTTTCCTATCAAGGGGATAAAGCATATGGCTCCTTTATGGGACCTCCACAGGAAATATCACTGCTTTGCAAAATCACCACCAACAATGTTATTAATTCTCAACCTTATCTGTTTGCATCTCTATCAATCCACAAACTACAGAATAGAATCAAGATCACATGAAGTGTTAATACCACTTTACAATGCCTTGGTAAGGCCACACTTGGAATACTGCATCCAGTTTTGGTCACCACGATGTACAAAAGATGGTGAGACTCTAGAGAGAGTGCAGAGAAGAGCAACAAAGATGATTAGGGGACTGGAGGCTAAAACATATAAGGAACAGTTGCTGGAATTGGGTATGACTAGTTTAATGAAGAGAAGGATGAGGGGGGACAAGATAGCAATGTTCCAATATCTCAGGGACTGCCACAAAGAAGAGGGAGACAAGCTATTCTCCAAAGCAGCTGAAGGCAGGACAAGAAGCAACGGATGGAAACTAACCAAAGAGAAAAGCAACCTAGAACTAAGGAGAAATTTCCTGACA